AGGGACATGGTTTAGTGGTGGGATGGCAGGGTTAGGTTAACGGTTGGACTCGATGATCTTAAAGGTCTTTTCCAACCAAAGCGATTCTATGATTCTATGATTCTACACAAGCTAATAGACCATTTGTCTCAATCCAGGTAAACCAAGAAGCCTTTCAGTTCCACAGGTTAGTCAGGGAAATACAACTGCATCATCTTTCATTCTGAATGTATATTTGCATCAAAAACAGTTGATGAAGTGGTGAAGTTAAACAAACACACATATGATGAGTATGAAGTAGTTACTACTGCAGAAAATTCTTTTCTGACTGATTTTTCAGTCAGCTGTTCTTTGAGACCTTTTGATGTTTCAAAAAAAAATAAAATAATGAGAGCAGTTGATATCAATGGATTATGAACATACCCTGGACTGAGAGAGAGAGCAGGGGGAATAAAACCTTTGCTGCGTCTTGCTCTACACAAAAATAAACTCATTTAAGTGATAGCTCTTTTTTTTTTTTTAGATGCACAAAGCTTATATACTTTTTTTCTTACTACTGTGGTTCTTAAGTTAGGAATATTCTTTGTAACAACAAAGGTATTTGCAAATCATACATGTATTTTCTTTAGAGGATTACAGACATTGATTACACTACTGTATTAGTCAGTCTCCAAGAAAACAGAGAACTCACTGAATTTTCTCAGATGACTTTGTCTGCATTTGCTGATTACATTTATCTTCCATACAGAATTGTATCTATCTTCCTTTATTATCTATCTTCCCTTATCATACTACCTGTGAAGCATTATCTAAATCTCAATTGTAAGAACTGTGAGGTTGAAAGACTGAGATAAAGAAGCAGAATAAATTCAAAGAGACAATAAAGACAAAATGCTAAGAAAGACCTTGCAAAATGGGAATTCCACCAAACGCATTAGTATTTCCTATGGTATATGAAATTCAGACAGAAGTAAAGTTTTATGCTGCATAGGCAGATGTGTTTCCCTTGGCAGTTTTATTGTTGCTTTCTGTTACATCTTATTTTCACTATTCAGAATCTAAAGAATAAAAATATTTATCCTCCTTCTGAAATCAATGTAGGTGATACAGTTTTGGCTTAATTAGCACGATGTGGAAATCTGACCTCTATTTTGGTTGTAAACATTTTAAAAATACATTTCTTACCACTTTCATCCAGCAAGAAATCATCCTGGTAACGGAACTTTTCTGGTCCACATGCAATAAAAATGTCATCATCGCCAAAGAAATCCTGAAGGCACATCACCTGCAAACAAAAAGGAAAGGAGGACATTGCATGAAATACCACATCATCAGAACTGTAAGAACAATAAATCCCTCCTTCTATCCATCCGCATGAAAACTCTTTGCTTTTAATGGAATCAACAGGGCTTCATATCCAGATACGTTTCAAAGCTGTGCTCCTGCCATCTGTTAGAAGTGAGAATCACTTTTATGGACACTGCAGGAGCAGAGAGATAAGACAAAAAGCCATAACTGTCACATTTATTACGTGATGCATCAATGGGGTATGAGGTAAATGCCTTTTGTTTACGCACAAGGTACTATTCAGCAGTTAGAGGATAATTCATTTGCCTTTGAGCCTATGTTTCTACCCTTTGGCTGCCATGAAAGGAGGTTACAGCTTTGTATGCAGAATTAAATGTAGTTATTTCAGCAAAATCTGCCGTGCAGGGAATGAAACTTGTATGGGTGAACAGAATCTCCATCACACACCCTTCATCTTCACCAGCATAGTCGACATGAAGGCTCTTCAAAGGTACCAAGCTGAACAACCAGATGAGCTGGGAATGATTCTAGTACTGAGTAAAAGAATAATCCCTTCCTAGTCCCAAATATGAACAGTCAGGATTACCCTGGGGTAGTTTTATATCTATACATGAGATTTTCTTACAACAGCTTTTAGTTCACAAGGCACCACTTAACAGTTTAATGTTTTCAGTTATATGACAATTTTTACTAAGGTTCTTAAAGAAAAATCAGTAACTTTCCAAAAACGTGACTTCAGACTTACTGATCCAGTTGTGACAAATTTTAAAAACAAATTAGGTATCAGAGTACCTTTAAAAAAACAGAGACATTGGTAAACAATACTATAAGCTCTGTTCCTGCTTCACACTTACAAGAAGATTTTAAAAGGCTATGTTTGCCTATTTTTTACATAATGTTTTGTAAGCACTAATGTTTGAACAGGATAACTTCACAGATAAGAGGCTCAAGTCAACAGCATACGGACAGGAAAGTAGCACATAAAAAATTTCTAAAAATTGACAAAATAGTTGAGAATAGCCCAGCTGAACCAGATCGCCCCCCTCATAAAAAGCGGAGATGGGAGGAAAGTCAGGATTTAAAGCCTACAAAAACACAAGTGAAAGAATTAGCTAATGAGAAGACTTTGCCAGACTTTGGCATAAAAACAAGCACCCCTCCAACCTGCAGTGACTGGTGTCTAGGAGTTACAAAATGCAAATCGTGCTTCTCAGACACATGCCGGAAGGCTTTGGCATCTACAACAGTTACGAGCCCCTATGCTAGAAAAAACTTAAGGAAGAAAAATAGTGGTCCATGTCATGACTTGCTTGCAGAGTAAGATTTGTCATTAAAACTATTTTAAAGGTAGAGCAGTAGCAGCTGAAAAAAAAGAGGAACTCAAGAAAAGACGAACTAGATTAAATAAATACCCCAAAAGAAACAAAGGTACTCCCCAAATTACCCTTTCCTTAGGTAATGCACATAACTTTAAATTCAGGTCCACTACAACCTGATAACTATCAACGCTATCATCTCAACACCACACAGTACCTGAACACCAACATCAAAAATGTAAATATTCGATGGAGCTTTTTACCACGTTCTTACTCAGGTTACGTTCTATTAATGTATCAGCCTCAGCAACCTTTATATAAACTCATTTACTTCCCATCTTTTTTTTATTGTCCACAAGACATATCCTGCCTATCTTTGTGCCCAATACTCCCAACAAGCTTCAAACGCCTCTTCCCTTCAGTCAAGTTCCTCTGAAATTGCCACCTCTCCCAAGTTTGCCACACTTGTGGGGAGTGATAACCTTTACGTTTGTGTTTATTCTAAGCAGAGTATTAGAACTGAACTCTGGGGGGGGGGCTCCATAAGGGACTCTAGGCACAAAGTTGAGCTATTTTGACAACAAGCATGAATGAAAATTAAATTCATATTTGAATCAAAAAACTGTATGGATTTAATAAAAATGCTTGGCTCTGCTCAGTTAAGAGTTTCATTCAAGCCTAAACAAGACATTAAAATAGAGGTAGACCAACACCTAACTAGGCTCAACTACACCAAAATATTAAAGCGTCTCAGGCTCAATCAGTGCAATTTATATGCAAATAAGAAAGAAAATGGGATTAGCACAATAGAAAAATAATTCGTACTTAGATATCCTTGGTTTTTACACTAGAATTTAAAGAGTTCTTATGCTTGCCTCTTTTCTCAGTTTCCTACTCTGTATGTAAAACTACATACACTTCTTACAGTTTTTCTTGCCTCCTGAGGTTTTATTAATTTGGGAATTACAATTCTAGCTCTTAGATAGCTCATAGCAAGAGCATAACCCATCCCCCTCTGGAGTAACTTCTCTTCAGGCTTCCAGTATCTTTTTATATTATTTATTGGAAGCCTTGGCATGTCCTTTATTGTCTGCTTTCTCCTCTGCAGCACTTTCCATCCTTTCTGTCTCAGCATCCCTGGCCTGCTCCGCTCCCCGGCTCATGCTCTTCAGAGGTTACGCTGAAGGGCCTTTCCAGAAGGCATCTAACAAATATACAGCACCCCCTTCCAGGCTTTTTCGGAGAGAAATCTGCAAGCACTTTCTATTCACACTCAGTCATCAGCTAAGCCACAGGACCTGCTTTTTATTACCCATTTTCACTTCTGGAGAACACAGCTCCTCAAAAGTTATGGTTTAGAAGATCAAGGATTTGCATCACCCGTACTGGACTGTGCCAGTGCTTAAGAGGTCAGTGTGCTCTGTTGCATGTGATCAGCTTTAAAACTAGTCAATTTTTAAAACAGTGAATTACAAAAGCCTCCCTGAACACTTTGCTGGTTTTATGTCACAGAATCCATCTTCTTCTTTTTCACAAATAAGTTTTTATCTTCCATGTTCCACCAGGACGTTTCTCACAGCATGGAAAACGAAGTCTATGCAGGAGCAGTCAAACATACACCTGAAGTAAAAAGAAACTGAAAAAAAAATGTTTTCTACCACACACCTGAGATTAAATATACTGTGGCAGTTATAAACAAAAAACTTTCTGGCAAAGGGGTGATATTTAAAGTTAATGGTGTCTCTCTTACACTCAGTAGGGGAATGAATAAATAACAGTAACACTACTAGAGGCCAGGGAGTCTCAGGCATTACAATCCTTTGCATCGGTGGCGAGAAAGATGGCAAGCAGCAGCAAAGAAAATCGATCACGATGACAGGCTTCAGGCAATACACAAGTCACATAAAAAAGACTTCGCTAACCTGTACATCCCCAATGCAAAACAGAGGAGAGGCAGAAGAATTTGTCATGCCTAAACTCACCTCAGCAAGTTGTACAGGCTGAAGCCTGGGTCCCCCACAACTCCTTATCCTAGTAAACAACTTAAGAATCCCACATGCTCTGCCAGTGGGAGACGAGAGTGTCTGCCTAGGAAGAACTCAAAATTATTTTGTATCTCAGATGTTGGTGTGGCGCTTTTGCTAGAAGCCCAGAGGGGCCACGGGGACCCAGCCAGGCCAGGCCCAGCCACCGGGGAGCATGCAGCAGGGCGGCTGAGCTGCCCCAGGAGGAGAACAGGGAGCTGAGCAGCAAACCTGGCTTCCAGCCCAGGATCAGGACTGGCTTTGCACCATAGCACGGACACTATGGGCATGTTAAAAATTACCTTCACTTTCCTTTCTCTTTTTAAGCAGGAGAGTATCTGGAACCAATGAGAAATCATGGAACTATTGTGGAGCCTTTGTTTTCCTGAACCGGCGTGAAACATTTAAGCTCTTAATATTCACCTCTTTGAAGCTGGAAACTTTGTTACGGAGACCCTCTTTCTTATATCTACAAAAGATGCAAGAAATTGTGCTTTGCGTTTTGGAGCACAGATGACTGCAAAGTAAGAAGAGCAGCTTGTAGAGCCGTTACCTGGTTTTGTTCTCTCCACCAGTAAGGGAAAGCAGTCAGTAGTGGTGTGGAGGAGGTGCAGAGGGAGGGAGAGAGGGAAGGGAGAATGGAGGGAAAAGGGAGGGGAAGGCAGAGGGGAAGAAAGGGAGAGGGAGAAGAGGGAGGGAGGGAAGAACGGAGGGAGGGAGGGAAGGAATTAATCAATCCTTTCTGTAAAAGCATGAAATTAAATCACCTTTTACAATTGCTGTATTCTGGCTACAGAGGGCTCAGGGACCTTTTGGAATTCATGTTTTAAAACAAACACACACACACACACAAAACCCAGAACAAAATTTGTTGCATATGTCGGTCACAGCAAATCAAATACTTTCCTATCGTTTTAAAGCTAACCACATATCAAGTTAATACTGACTCTGAAATTTTTAAGTAAAAAAGAATCAGAAACTCAAATTTTCCTCTGCATTCAGGGATAGCTCACAGCACCAGCAAGTACACCATCAACACCAGGATTACTAACTCTCACGCTTTTGTCAGCATTTTCATATTGCTGGGTTCTTGGACAGAGAAGGAAGAGGGAGGTATTCTGTGTGTTTGTCTTCTTTTAACAACAACTTAATTAGACTCAAAGCTGAAAGCTATTTTGGATGAGCCATGAGAAAACCTCAAGCTGGGGTGCCCTCGGGCACCACGGCTGTTGGAGAGCTGGAAAGAAAAGTGAGGACAAAGAAATGAGGTGGTAAAACAAAAAAGATGCAGAAGGAGAACTCAAACGATAAGCGGGTATAGGAGTTTTCTGAAAACAAAACAAGAAATGAATGATGGTAAATGGAAAACATGAGGCGTTTGGAGATGCAGACTGCAAGGCAGGATTGCACACCGAGGGCGACAGAGCGGTAATCGAGGCTGGTGTGGGAAGAGCAGCCCAAAGGAGGGGACAGGCAGAGAGACAGTGGCAAGCACCTTCCCAGTTCACCCCATAGCCAGCCAGCCGGGAAGTCCTAAAGCCATTTTAAAGTAGCCTTTTTGAACCTGAAACAAGCTCATGCTGAGTTTGTTTATCATTTCCCCGATGGTGAAAAAGACATTAAAAAAAAAAACTTTA